ACGAAGAAGAAGAAGAAGAAGAAGAAGAAGAAGAAGAAGAAGAAGAAGAAGAAGAAGAAGAAGAAGAAGAAGAAGAAGAAGAAGAAGAAGAAGAAGAAGAGCAACAACAACAACAACAACAACAACAGCAACAACAACATCACCCCCTCCCCTCTTTTTGTTATAGAAAACAACAGAATAATAAACAATACAATATAAGTTATGATTTTACACGGGCAACATCATACCAAAGAAGAGACGCCATGCTTCTTCCCATGTCTTGGTGACCTTGACTTTGGCCTTCCGTTGTTTTCTCCCGCCGGTTTGGGGGGCGCCACTGTGGACTTGGGTAGCTCAAAGCTCTGCATAGTCACGTGCTCCTTCAGGGGGTACCAATGAGGTTTGTTGTCCAAGAAAGCGAATTCTGAGGAGAGTTTCAAGTTTCCTTGTCTAGTCTATTCAGTAAGTTATTTATTCCGAGTGCTGCCGTTGTCCGTTACAGAAGAATGTCGGGGTACAAGGCAACTGGAAGATCAAGGAAGACCTAGATCGAGGGTGTGAAGGATACCCTGAAGACCCACAACTTCCCGCCCAGCCAAACCATATATCTAGCTTGCCAGAGACCGAACGCTCTTTCTCCCCTCGACACCCTTGATGGTAGGCCTACAAGAGGAAGGATTAAGTAAGCAAAGTAAGTCAGCTGTCTTTGTCTACAAATGAAATTTATTCTGAGTGCTGTCTTTCTCTATTTATTCAACAAGAGATTTTTTATTCAAAGTGCTGTCTTTGTGTAGTCTATTCAGTAAGAGATTTATTCCAAGCGTTGTATTTGTCTAGTCTATTAAATAACACATATTTATTCCTAGTTTTATCTCTGCCTAGTCTGTGAAGCATGACATTTGATATTACGTGATTTAGAAGCCTGCAGGTGGAAAACAAGAATGTCCATTGCTGAAGCTATAGGAAAATATAGCCCAGCCAAACAACAACAACAACAACAACAACAACAACAACAACAACAAACAAACAAACAAACAAACAAACAAACAAAACCCCCACAAAAAACAAAAACCAACCAAAAAAAGCAACAAATAAACAAACCCCAGACAAACATAAAAACAGCAAAAAAAAAACCCAACCCCAACAACAAACAACTCCCCCTAACAAACAAATACCCACCCCCAAAAAAACCCAACAATGCAAAACAATCCCCCCTCACAAAGAAACAACAACAAAATCGTCATCAGCAAGACTCTCTCCCATCCCCGCTCTGTCTCCCCTCTCTCTTCATATCCTCACAACCACACACCTATTCGCTTATAAGTGTTGCTAACCCATTGTTAGACAGCTTTATAAGTTACAAAGTGGTTAAGACAATAGCATGACTTGTTGGTTGGTACCTGTTCCCATGTGTGTAATACAACCAGTCACCCTAATTGTAAATATTTGGGATGAGGTGCCATCCACTAAGCCGCGAGTTCCTTTCCCAAGTAGGAGAGGTTATGATACGCCTATATATTGTTATGACAAGTTGGAATCAGGCGCTGTTTAATTTTTTTGGGGGGGCATATGGAGTTGTTGGTATTATCTTAAAGCCTGTTGGTTTGTCTAGCTTTTGATGATAAAATTACCATGTATCTTGAATAGAAATAGAGATATTTGCGACTGAAGGAGGTGGAGGTCGTCTGGTGTCAATTAGCAAGAAATTGCCGCCAATGTTGGTGATTTCCAAAGCTTGAGTGCCCTTGAAAACTGAAAACTCATATTTTTTGTGCCTTTGATCAATGCTTTTCAATACAATCCACACAGAGCTAAAATATGTTTTTAAAAAGATATAAAAGGTGTTGGATTCCCCCCCCCCCCAAAAAAAGAGACTTAAAATTGCCCTATGAGTGAACAAATATCAATTATCATCTCGAGCGCCTGATTCCTCCACGTCACGACACGAACATGTCTATCGAGTACTTCCGCCTTTCAGCTAAGGTACATAATCCTACTCAGCCTGGATTGGCCCTGGCTGGCAGCGACAAAGCACCTTGCTTCCTATAATATCATTATGATCTAAATAGTTTCTACGGTCGCATGGAAACGGTTACTACCAATCTATACTTTTGGTCTTAGTGGCTGTATTCTACTGAGAATACTGCCCAAGGCAGGGTTAGGGATAATGCTGCTGGATAGTGTATAAGAAGTTGCAGTTTGTTTAGTCATAAAAATAGTGAAGGGCAATACAGGAGTATGGACAGCGTACTATGTTTATAGATGAATAGAAAAAGGAACGGACGACTGGTCAGTACACCATCATCATCATCATCATCATCATCATCATCATCATCATCATCATCATCATCATCATCATCATCATCATCATCATCATCATCATCATCATCATC